CGAAAATCGAAGTCCAAACCTTCTGATCAGGGATAAGATCTGAGCCATTAGCAGTGGCATATACTCTTGTATCCACCTCATCTGTCGTCAGACTTACTGACTGAGCATCATCACTCAGCAAATCCGTCACAAAAACGAGTACGGCAATTGCGTTATTAAGAACAAACTCTTTTCAGAACCACTGCAAAATCGGTTCGCATAGCCGTGTATACGGGGCTGGTGATAGGCTCTGTCCACAGACTTTTTGAACCACACATTTTTAACTTGCCATATTGCATCGTCCCTTCATCACGGAAGTGTCACATCGGTGTATCACACCGATGACCCTTAATGATCTTTATGAACAGTCTGATGTGGGAAAAACAAGTAACAATTCGAAAACCTAATCACAAAAAGTGGAGGAACCTAACTTTACTACAGAAAATGAATTTGGAACGTTACTGTGATCAGTGAAGGTTAAAGCATGTAAACGTTTAAAAGATCGGGAAAACCAGACATGAGAAAAAAATCAGAAGAATGGTGTTTATGACTGTACAGATAAGCTTCTGCAGTGATATCCTCGAACTGGTGAAAAACTGGTTGATAATAATGTACGAAATAGTAGCTCACAAACTCAGACGCAGCTGAAAACGTCAGACAAATGTTGAAATCAAACTTCTGGTACAAATAATGAAGCACGAAATTTACTTCTTCTAATCCAATCCATGGTTTCTACCCATTAGCAGTAGAAGTTCCTGTTTATCATTTTCTGCACTGGAGCCAATGAACCTCCGGCCTTGTAATGTAAAAGGTGCTGACATCCAGAAACCTTACTACCTCGAGACAAACGCGTTTAGTTCAGTTACATAATATGCAAATCCGTAAGTACCTACAAACCTAACCAGACTTCGTGCAGGAAACAGCACGCTACCACCGAGACTACCACCAGTCGAATATTATGAAATACATATAATAATACGGAAACAATAAGAAGTGAGAATGTAATGGGTTTATACCAGTTATCGATTAAGAAATTGAATTTTAGAGTACAAAGTAACGTTCACTAGCAGCACTGACCTAGAAAATGCCCTACTATCCGGTCAATTAGTAAAATCAGGCGGCGATGCTGATATATGACCTGTTCAGGTACTCACTGGAATCACAAACTTCAGACAGCATGGAAACAAGTTACTTTCCCTCCTCCATGAAGCCTTTTTCGGGCTAAGGAAGGGCAGGTCGTGAGCACCCAAGCTTCTTATAGAATGAGAAGTCTATAGAACCTTCTGTGACCAAAATTACCAGCTCATGTAATATTCCTTGTTAGAGCAGCTAAACCCATGCCCAAAACTTCTCCTTTCTCTGGAATGCGAACAAGCGGTTACCCCAGAAATATTACAGAGCAACTGTTAACATTGGTACACAGAGTGTGCATTAAAGCTTATAATCCTAAATGTGTGGGAGATCAAGCAATGATAACATGAAAAGCTCCGAGAGAAGGATATATGAGCACACTTTGTTTGTTTTACGCTCTTCTTAATTAATGAAATGACTAATCTGTGGTACTGAGGTCACTTTCATATGCCTGCTACTCATGAGACTCATGTTTCCAATCATATGCTTGGATCGCTATTCTGCCAAATCAACTTGCAAAGTGTGTTAGTTATTTCCATAACTAATTGTAGTTATGCTATAACTGACCAATCAGATTGTGGTTTAAGCGTTCACCACGTGATCTGTTCTGACGTGTCCATGAACTATCTTTGTTGTAAATAACCTACTAATTGAAGGACATTATTTTCTTGTTTTATTGATGTGACTCATAGTTTTATTCATTTATACGCTACATTGGTCGGCATGTTTGCTCGTTTCACTTGGTAACTGTAATTTCCTTATTTATTGTACTAATCTAATTGTTTTTATGTTTAGAGCCAAAATGGTCTTGTTTTGACTATGACTTTTCCATAGATTCTGTGCTCGCCATTATTGCTTTCAAAGTCATAAAACAACATCTGTAGGACGAATTAAATCCTACAACGTGCCTACTGAAGCACTTCAAAAATGATTTAAAGGTTAGCATTTGATGAAAAAAAGATAGACTCTGAACAAGATAATTACCAAAATATTTCACTATCCTTGCTCTTCTTTCTAAACTTCAGGCTTCAAGGTACCAATATCTAGCTTCTTACTTCAACTTCTCACAACTTAACCCATTAATCTTCGCTGCTGTACTGCCTAAACTAAAGACTGTATTACCATTTATTTTAGTTCCGTTGGTCTGCATAAATTTCATCTTCCGACTAAGCATTGCTTGTCAGTCTCATCACGAACGGTAAAACAATGTTTGTTCATATATCCAGATGTCCTGTTGTTACACTTTTCTTTTTTTTCCTTTCCAATGACCCTATCAGAGGCGGAAAAACCTTGGTGCTTCTGCATTCAGCTATGCCGTAAACAGCCGTATGCAAAAAATTGTTCTGCCCTTCAGACATTGTAGATTGAGGTTATCGCCCCTCCATCATGATTTCTGGTCAGATACACAACCCTCTCTCCATTTATGATGCTAGGCTCTCTTAAGTTTAGTGTAGGTTCTAATACATGGTTTTTAGTCCAAGTTCTATTTCTTGAACACCTTGTCGGAATACACTTTCTATACCAGCTCCACACTGCAACACAAACCACACAACTTTGGCTTTTGTATGTTGGACTAAATATCTATCTAGCATATCACATAGATATTAAGTTAATTAAGGGTATAAGTTGTAATATATGAGTCAGTCAGTCGGTAATTTGGAAATAGGAAGAATAGACAAATTAAGAAAGAAAAAGAGAGAAAATAGAGTTAAAAATTTATGAGTTAAGGCGATAAATAGGTAAGAAAGCAAAGTGTTTGGGCGTTAGTGAATTGAGGAAATAAAAATTTATTAAACTGTTTATACGTGAACGAGAAGGAACTCAAAATGATACAGGAAGTTTGAGTTCCTCGTGATCCACAGTTGTTGAGCAGCATCTGTTGTATGGAACGGAAACCTGGACGACTATGAAATCCATCATCTAGGGGATACGAGTGTTCATTAGTTTTTTGTCTACGAAAAATATTTCGGATTCGCTGGACAGACACTGTGAGAAACAACTTACTGTGACAGAGAACAGACCAGATGGCAGTTACGCAAAAACTAGAAGATATTACTGGGAGTGGAGAGGACACATTGCCGAAAGCGTCTAATAACTTAACATAGTAAGCCCTCACTTTAAATCCTGGAATCCGAAAAAAAAAGAGAAAGACTAAGGAACAAATTAGGTCAATATTTAAAAGCAGACATGAAAAAAATGAGCAGTGGTTGGATAGAACTGGAAATGAAGGCCCAGAACAAAGTAGGCTAGCGAATGCTCGTCAGCGTCGTTTCCTCCCCAGAGGTAACAAGCTTAAGTAAGTAATACATTGTTCTTCGTCTTCGCAAAAGCTGGCATCACAGTAACCCACGTCTTCCTAGTAGCAAACTTTTCGAAAATGAGCTTCAGTGATCGATTTCTACCTTGGCTCGGATATTACATAGATTTCGGAGAGATTTTTATCAGGGTAAATAGGGCGCGTATCAGCTGGTAAATCTCCACATCATGAGTTTCACCGGGGACCATTATCGGTTACCTCCTCTTATAGATATTTACTGACAAATTTTTAGAGACTATCATCCCACGGACTTTATTCTATGAAGATAGTGTAAAGATCTGAAGGTACATAGGAAGTGAGGAGGATTAATTTCAGCTTCGAAATGACCTTTAAAATGGAGGCACAGGTAGTTAATGATATGTTAAGACTTAGCCAGTCAAAATATAACACCATGAACATTCTGTCCAACGCGACACAGAAATTTGCATCCTTGATGGAAGTTCGCCCTAAAATATCTCAGAGCACGATCTTGGTCTTATAATCGCGGAGAGCCAGCGCACAATTTCAAACTACGTAAGGGTGCAGCGGAGGCCAACTTGACTCACCGGTTTATGTGAAAGCAACGCGAAGTTTACAATTTCGTCTCACCCCCTCTCCTTAGAGAAAACACAAACCTCTTTTAGTGAATACTGAGACGAGCAACACAATAGGTGATAGGGTAAACGAATAAACTGTACATAGACAGACTCTCACTGTTGGGATTATTCACACTGAGTTACAGAAGGATAAGAGGTGACCTATTAATGGCATACAACACGCCTAGCACACATATCATCCAAAGACAAAAATATTTCCTGGGCATCACAACCATGCCTGTCGACGTGTCCATCGAAAAATCGCACTTCAAAGGACAAACACCTAGGTACCTTCTCATCAGTAGTTGTCCACACTTGGAGTGCTCTCTCAGCTAATGTGACCACTACGTTATCAGCAAATATATTTAAGAAGAGGCTCCACAGACACGAACCCACATCTGGATTAACATTCAGCAGACGTACTCACATATAGATTATCGTCCAACTCCCGGACCAGCTGTGACTAACGCATGGCTTGAAACTTGCTTGTTTTCTCACTATTGTCTCCTAAGATCACTGACTGATTTGATCTTGCTTGTTGATATCTGTGCTTTCTATTCTTCACCTACATTTCGGGCCTCTGACACTGTATTCACTACCGATTAATTAACTTTGTAATTATTTAGATAGGTCTGAAGTCTTTCTCTTCTCCTTACCACTAAAATCTTCTCCTTACCATTTTCCACACACTAGCTAACCGCTTTCCAGCCTGACAATGGGATAACTGCTAGGATCCAGAAACCTAAATACCCTGAGACAAACACGCTCAAATCACGGGACATACACATCAATAAAGAACTGTAAACTGACGTAATCAAGTTCAGTCGAAGAGATAGTCTACTATATTTGATATTAAAAAATTCCTGAACAAAACTGAAACAAAAGGAAGCGAGGAAAGAGAAGTCAGCCGGTTAACATTAGTTAGTGAGTATTTTGAATATTGGGCATTTTATGTGCAGCCTACAGGTAGGCACAAATTCAACTCCAAGGACATTTTGATGTGTCCTGCCATCATTCCAGATAATTTGTCATTTCCGGATGTCGTATGTTTATAATTTTGGTAAATTACCCTAAATTTCAGAAGTCGAATTATGGGGTAGCTTTGTTGGATCGACTAACAAAAAGTGTACTCGGGATACCTACTCCCGAAACTGAGTTAAAACCTCACAAGTTAAAAGAACATTTCGAGGGTGCGTTGTATGAACTCTTTTTACTTAAGTCCAGGCTTCAAGAAAAATGTTCTCAATTAGAGGTGGGTTTTTTAATACATACTGATAGGTTTCGAATGTATCGAGGGGATGATTATTCAAACATGGTTGAGTTCGACCATTTGATAAACGTTTTTCAGCTTGACCAAAAGAATTTTTTTATAAAATTATACATTTCGAAGTGTTTCGTGATGTCACCAGTTGGACAGTTAAGGGGGATGTGCCAGTGTGTCGTAGTAGGTTTTATCTCTTCATTTTCTTAGTAATCTTCCCAGTTGAGATGAAAACTATTATGTATCAGTAGGCTTTTGTCCACAGCTGGTTATTTTGAGACGTTTCATTTGGTCACCACATTTCAGTACAGGTTCGTATCACTTAGTTTCGGCTGGGTCCTAAATTTACCGTGAATTGTGATCAACGACTTCTCGTGAATAATAATCGCTGAAGCAGCCATCTCTTCATTCCAAATCCATTTGGTTCCAAAACTTAACATTAAGTGTTTGAAGGAATTTTGATTTTTTCCTTAGAATACCTGTTTTTGAACTTGTTAGTCTCACATTGACGTGTCGGTTATAAGATGTGCTACGTAATCTCCTAGTTTTATGTTCAAGCATCTCATCCTTTTGAAACACAATTTTATTTCAGTCGTGATTTCTAAAAACATAGTACATGCTGAGAAAAATAGACCAAAATAATGTTTTTCACAAAAGTCAAAATAAGGCATGCATGAAGGAATTAGACATTGTTCTATATCGGAAATCGTGAGCGTTTGCATCTGTTACAGCACAACTACTTTAAAATTGTGTGGTTTGTAAATTAAAAAGGTCAGAATAATTCATCCTAAAGCATCAGGCTGCAATCTATATAATCCTACAATTAGTCTTGTGAATAAAATACATATTAGGGGAGTTTCCTTTCATCGATCCAGATGATAGTAATAATGAATTATTGTGACCTTAGTTATGCTGTACCAGGTTAGAACTTCGCCATTTTTAATATAGAACACTGCATGCCTTATTTTGGTCTCCGTAAAATGAATCAACAATTATGAACTTATAAACTTAGAGCCTGATAACGAAGTTATTAAAAACAATTTTCCTCCTAAATATCCCTCGTTGTATTTGAAAATTGTGCAGGGATTTTCAAACTGCTGGACCAAATTAGTATTACTGGTTTCATCAGTTTAACATTATAACTATAGATATAGACGAAAGATTACCTGAGACTGGTTATGTAAACTCTTTCGTGATTAGTAATTTTTGGCTCCACAGTGTTAGTTTTATAGGTTGAAAATCTGAAAAATGGTCCGGGGAATTTTGTGTTATCTCCAAATCTGCTCCTTTATAACCTCGTATTTTGTTTATTCATTTGAAACACTGGTACTATTAGGCATCAAAATATATATGTGCCGCACCATAAAAGTTAGGTTGTTAAGATACAGAGGAATAATGGTTAGTATAACAACAAAAAAATGAATAGGATTTAGTCTGTGATAACAAAATAATAGTAGTAGTAACACAATAAACACTCCAGTTAAGGAAAATACAATTAGAAAGAATCCTTTCGGTTACAGAACTTCTTCTTACAGAATTCTAGTAATTAGTAGCACAGTGAGAAAAAAAGTCCAGAACTCACACAATTTTGCTTTGACTTTCAAACATTCTGAGGATGTCCTCTCAGATGACCGGACTTAAACGTAATTAGAGGATAAGTCTCTTAGCTGTATGTTACATAATTCAACCCTGACTGCGGTTTTGCAAATATATCCGTGTTGCTTTACTTTGGAATTTCATTCTACATTTACGTTACATTTTACATCTATTCATTTGTCCATTTTGTTCTTTTCTAATGATCTGTTACTTTACTGCCTGCTGGTTTGTTTAAACGTATTTGTGTCTGAAGACTAAATCATTATGTATACATCTTAAGCTGTATTATAAAGCTATAAAATGTTTCTGAACTGGATACTTATGATTTTAAAGTTATAACTGGTTAAGACCTCTTAAATGAAAAGAAGTTAAGGAGTATATTAAGTAGAAATAACAATTAGTTTCATGACAATTTTTTAAATACGTTAAACGAAAAATATTAACTTAAGTCTTTTCAAACTTTCACAACACAGGTAAAGTGTCGAGAGGATGAACGATCATTTCATTCTGCTGTCGAAAGGTTAAAAAATGATTTGACTGACCTTAGTCAACAATTCTGCAAGTTAGATACCGAAGTTCATATGGTATCTGGGAAATTGGTTCATCTAGGCGACCAGTTAGAAAGGAAAAATTTACCGAGAAAACGAATTGAAGAGGCACGTGATTTGATACTTGAATTTTATAAATTCTGGGGTTTTGGCGGAGGAAGTGTCACTAATGTAGTAAGCGCTCAATCAGATGAATCCCAGGTTAGTCAACTTTTGATACTGAAGAACAAACTTTGTAACACTAGGCAAATCAAATCATCGGAAAATATTTGTTTAGTATTTTCTAATCATCAGTATACACTGTTTTCTCCATCTACGACACCTAAAATACACAGCCACAGTAAATTCATTGAGATTTATTGATTAAATCCTTGACTCTTTTTAGGAGAGCAAGAACCAAGATTTGAGTAGAGTGACATAAATTCAGTTTGTTTTGTTTTATTCGCGTTATTTATTTACAACCTATCTTACTTATCTACTAGATTAGCGATCTTATCTTGACCTATCTAGCTTTAATCACTTTATTCCTACTTATTGTCGACAATATTCACCACTCAACTACACGTTTCTATTCCTTTAAACTTTTGTGCCTATCAATGTTATAGGATGCTGTTTCACATAAAATATATATCTAACATATTTCATTTAGTCTACTAAATTTATCTACACCCTTGCTATATTATACTCATTCGTGTAGGTAATTTGAATCCATTTTGTAATTATAATTTTTAAATATTATATGTTGTAAGCAGCTGACTGCAACTAAACGAAATTAATTGAAGTCATGTTATTATACCGAGATCTTTGCTCTTGCTTTCTTCAAGATGACAAAGTGAATTATGCAAATCAAATTACTGCTTTGTTTACGGTTCTAAAGACATACATTAGTTGTTTAAAATACCCTTTTCACCTAATTTTTAGTCTACTCACGTACGCACCAAATTAGAAGACAAGTAAATTTTTCAGTTATTCATTGTTTCTATCCGAATTATAAGTAAATATTTTATATGTATATATACCCATAGCAAACCTCATCCATACTGGACTACTTCATTTCGTTATGATGGCTCGAAACTTCATATCACAAATAACATTCTAAGGCAGTTAATAAGTTAAGACTATAGGCTAACCTGCGACCAAACGTTTGACCTTTCCTTTAGCTTTTGAAATTCAAAACTGATGCATTCTGTCGTTGCTTTTTCATAGTACTTAAAAAACGCAATTAACAGTGGTATATTTGAGTATGAATACTAGATTAAAATGATCTCTCCACGATCACTTGTACTAGTTGTAGCTATCTTACTTAAGTAGTATATAGTTTCAGGTTTTTATTGCCCATGTTGTAGTGCCTAGTTATTTAGAGATTTTATTGTTTTTTTGCCACACGATGTTTATGAACCCAGTCTAATATTGATATTTATATGCCTATTATAAAATGCATATGTTGAAACCAAGAGTTCTCGAAAGGCTTTGTGTCCCATCAGTTCGATAATTAAGTTAGGAGAGATTTCGTAAGTGATCGTGATATAACATTATCGAAGTTTAATCCCTCTTTATGAAGCACTCTCTTATTCATTGTATATGTCAGTTATTCGGGAATCGTCACTTTATCTAAACTTTTGACTTTAACACCCAGATTTGTGTTAAATTTTAGCTGATTTGGATAAAAACTTACCAAACATTTTTCTAACCTTGCAATTTCAGCTTCTTGAAGCTGCCACTCGATTCAAAAATTTGAGTTCCTTGTGCTTGGAGTTACCAGATGATGAACGCTTCTTAAATGCCAAACAAAGAGTTACAGGTTTGCCTTCTTTACTCACCTAATAAATTTCAGTTGCCTGTCAACACTTGGATAATGCTTTACTCGAACGATTTCGAGCAAACTTTCTTACGGGCAATGTAGAAACTATGAAGAGCATAGCAGATGTACTTCTTCTTTCCAAAAACTACTCTCGGTGTGCTGAAATCATGGTGGAAGAAACAGTAAAGGTAAATTTATTTCATATACTTTTTGAAGCATCAATACTTTAGTTTAATAACCTGTATTTGTAGCTTAAAAATTCAAAGTTTTGGTAAAAACTCGACAAAATAGCCTGAGGATTACCAGTACAACTGTCATCAAATTTTTGAAATTAAGATTACCGAGTGTACTGGTTTGAACCTATAGTATAATGTTTCTCACAAGTAATCAGAATGCTCAGAATTGCTACTTTTCTGTTTTCGAGATGAATTAGATGTCTCAAAAGCACAATTGTCCTTGCTTTATCGTGTTCTAGTTTGTTATAGTCAGCGTAGAGTCGGGAACATTGGTCAAAGTTGCCATACTATATTAGCTTGACGAAATAAAACGAATAAAATCAGTAGCAAGCGAGACTGAAATAATGTCGTAGCAATAATAAGTTCATACAGGAATCATACAACCTTGAGATTTCACTTCCTTAACGTTCTTCTGAAAATAAGGTCAATTGACTCCTTACAAAGATCTTTGTGTGGAAAATCGATTTAGAATGGTCAATATACAAACCTTCATAAATGATTTTTATTAAGTAGAACAAGTTAAATTGTATAGTGGCCCACGATCTGAACATACTGTGAGATAAATCTTCTCTTCAATTTCCGTATAGCATGCTTATGCAAACTTTGTTTGTGCGATGGCAGTAATACGAAGCCGAATACGGATTCAGTTAGATTGTTCTATTTCACCCAACCATTCATGCAAACAGACAATAGAATGCAAAGCTTAAGAGCGAAGCGAAGAAAAGTGGTCCAATCCAATGTGATCAGGCATGACTAAGTATATATAGTCAGACAAAAGTAAACCAGACGTTCAATAAGCGGAGTAGCCATGCACACACACATAAGTAAAAACAACCAAGAATATGAGCGAATAGTAGATAAGGTCGAAAGACGTGAATGATTGGAGAAGAATGGATTGATTAATTTATACAAAGGCTGGAATAAGCTATGTAGTCTCGACATACCGGTACACACTACAATTGTTTTAATTTCTTTTTCAGTTTAAATGTCCATCTACTTCCCACACTTTATGATCCCATATTTATATTATTTACTTAAAATTCAATAATTCCAATCGTAACTCTTAAACATTCCCATTATTGTTATTTTTAACAGACTATAGATCCCAACAAGATTCATTTTAAAGATATTACTAAGTGCTTGGTTTCAAGTGAAAAGCTAATAATGACCATATTTTTACGACCGGATTCAGTTCTGATGCAGTTAATGAATAGTCTTTTCACAACAAAGTTAAAAGTACGTCAAAAAAATTAAATATAAATTATCTAACATATTATTGGTGGTATGCTTCTAGAAACCTGATTGAAATCTGTAATTCATTTTAGTGTGATTTCATTTAATCACTTGTTTTCAGCATCCTTTAGTTGATTTCCAATCAGGTCCGATGTTTGAATACGATATTGTGTACTGATGATTAACTAGTTTATATAACTAACCAACTTGTTCATTAATCTCATCACAGTTTGGATATTCTAACTCAAAACTCCGCCTGTTGCACTTCCGGGGCTACTGCCGGTCCTCATCCCGCAAAAAACTAAATCGCTAAGAAAACGCTAACAAGAAAAAATAATTCAAACCATTTAAAATCTTCTCTGCGCGTTAGAAGGTCTTCATTTAGAAGAATTATGACGTCTCATTATGAAAGCCGAGTTCCTTCGGAAGTCATGAGGCCGATGCACCTTCTGACAACCAGAACCCTTCCACAGTGTGGGCAGCCGGGAAGTAACATCCGCCCTTATACCCATAAAAGCGCACGAGACCGATTTGTTCACAATCAAATCCTTTCTACACTTCCTAATAACTCTCTTATCTCAACGACCAACCCTTCGTTCGATCGTTTGTTACCTCGCGCCGCTAAAGCAAACGGTTTGAGCTAACGAAATATAATTCCTGGTCTCTTGAAACCCCGTTCTAAACTACATATTGGAGCTTTTAATGTTTGGACCCTATGCAAATAGGGCAACAGGCTTCATTAGCTAGAACTCTGGAATCCCGGGCGATCGATGTATGTTGCGTCTCCGAAACGCGCATACAAGATCCGAGTAAAATCATCAATTCGATCTCACCTAGTGCAGATAGAGACACAACAAGGTTTACGCTACGTGTTTCTGATAGCCCTGATGCCGCTTCTCGTGGCCTCGCCGGAGTAGGTATAGTATTAAGTCCTAGGGCAGAACTAGCTCTCTTAGACTGGATCCCGATAGACAGTCGCTTATGTGCTGTCTGACTAAACGGGACTGTACGGACTTGGAAGGATAGGGACACTTGTTGTTGCCTCTCCGTCGTATCTGTCTACGCTCCCACTGACTGCAGTTCAGAAGATGTGAAAGATAAGTTTTACAGAAACCTCTCTAAACTTCTCCAAAATGTTAAGCACTCTAATATAGTAATAATGACTGGTGACTTTAACGCTCAAGTAGGTAGACTCAGCGAAAATGGAAGACATCTAGGTGGATAATGGCTACCGTCTGAAGCAGCTATGCTCAGATAACCGCCTATTCCTTACAAAAACTAACTTTAGGCATAAGGAAAAACATCTTTTGACCTGGCGACCCCCAAAGCCGACTCAACGATGGACCCAACTAGATCACATCGCCATCAGCCACCGATGGAGGGGTTAACAATAATCTTTGTATAGATAAGGGTAATAATAACAACAGCCAATGAGTCAAGTGGAGACCTACAATTAAAAGAATATAAAACTACCGTAAGTTAATCATTTAAAAATTACATGGTAAAGGCATATATATATATATATATACATATAGTCCGCAGAGAATAGCTTCTAAAGTTTAACATTTATACTTATTCTTCTCACCATAACACTTTCTAAGCATATAATTTATTTTGTTTTTTTTTAAAAATTGTTTGAACTTAGGTATACTTGAGTAATCATATGAAGCAAGAATTGAATGCACAGGCATTTTTAACTAATTTATACAATGAATACCGAAAGTAAGCATATAACTCTAATTTTACACATGTTTAGTGATTATATAGAATGAAGCTAATCTACTTAGATAAAACTCAATAATTTCAAAAGTAATACTGTTTTTGCTCTCTTATCGATACATGAAATTACAGATTTCATTGAACATCTAAGCGTTTACTATGTAAACAATAAAATTAGAACATTTCTATTCACAACCAATCATCATTTTTTTATTTGTGTAATTTCTAAGCTTACTAGTGTAGAATGTTTCCCACTAAAAACCACTTTAAGTTTTAAAGGAACATTTTTATCATGTTATTTTTATGATGCTACTATTAGAAATGGTTTTAACTATAAGCATGATAGGTATATCTGTCGGTTAATTTCTAACAAAGTGCTCAATTTTCATTGACCAGGTTACTTGATTGGATGTTATTATATTGATAACCACTTTTTCATTGTCCTCTACTTTCAAAAGAATAAATTTGATAAGTTAAATTAAGTTAATGTTGTCAGTTTCATTGCATTATTTTCTCGTACATCCCATTTACTTTCTGGTCAATGGTTTTTATATTATACTCAATGACAAATAAAAGTCATTCATTGTCAGGCCTCACTTCACCTGCTGATTCATTCAATGAATATTCTTAAGAATCTAATTGGAACTTCTACCTTATTTCAACTTGAGTTATTTGTATATAATCATAGTTTTGTGTATTTATTGTACAAATTTCAGCGTTGAAAAACTGGTTCTTGAGTTATCTAATGAATTAACATTGATTACAGATCCAATGCAACTTTCAAAATTATTTCGGGAATTATTTGCTCCATACTTAACCGATTATATGAAACGAGAATCAGACTGGTTAACTGAACGCTTAACAGGTCATCTTGAACATTATTATCAACATCAAAAACATCAAAAACGTGCACTTAATGTTTCTGGGTTAGTTTTAAAGTTTTTTTTGTGCTTTTATAATTTAACGGTAATCAGTTTTTAATGATGATATTTTATCGATATGATAAGGTGAACAATCATTGGGCTAATTTAAGTCCAAACTAGTTGATATAGTTAACCAACACAACTTCATTCATAACAATGTTGGGAATTCTGACCAAAAATCACATGAAAGCACTACAAAATTGTAGACAAAAGATTGAATTAGTGATATTGGGACCAGGTAAACGTTTAGATGTTGTACTAATTAACACATACCCGATTATATTACTAAAATAAAGTCCATTCTAAACTAAAATCTGAAATTTAAGGTTGGTAAATGCAGCAAAAACTTAACTGATTAGGCAAAGAGACGAATCATAAGCGTATCCACGTTGCTATTGAAGAAGAGAATTATTCATAGCTCTGTTGATATTGATTTAAAACTTCGTGGATCGGGTTTACCGCATATAGATGGACTACCGAAAATGCATAAACGGAACTTCCTGCTTGCCTCATCACAAAGCTGCATGCTGGCTATCGGAAGAGTTAGAACCAATCTGTCATATCCTTATGCGTCAAAAGGCTGTCCGATTTTCTGACAGTCTCAGTCACATAAATATTGCTAGCAAGTCGATGGTTTCTGTTGATGTGATATCTTTGTTTATCAACGTAAAGCTTCTTGAAACTATGACATAAAGTTGACAGGTTAAAGTCCGTCAGCATCATCTATCAACAATCGAGTTCTTTTGTAAAATTTGTTGCTGCTATCAAACGCCTGAAGTCGGAATTGTGTATTCAAAGGGAAACTGCTGTAAAGCTTCCTTTACCATGGTTACTTGGTCATCGGTCGATTACATCATTCCTGCGATTTTTTCTCTCTGTCTCTCTCATAGTTCCATTACTTCTTTCAAAGTCATAACTTTATTCTTAAACTGATTGACATCAAATTTTGTTATTCTTAGTTGTTATTAATTTATGTTTAACTATTTCACTATATAACTAATTATTGTATTTCAATGGTTTTTTGTTACTTTAACTGATGGTCCAGAATCTTTTTCCATATATTATGTTCGCTGACATCATTATATGTCTTCAATCTCATAGCTCCACCATGATAATACATATCCACATTTTACTGTTATACTAATGCAAACTTACTAATAATTTTAATTTTTTTTTAAATATGGTGGGTGGTATGCAGTTGATGAGAATCTTAAAAAATGTAATGAATTCATATTATTCTACTCGATTCTTTATTCCTGATCTCTTTCCATTGGTATTTACCTGCATTACGAGTTGTGATATCCTTATTTTTAGTAACATTGATAAATATAAATTCTCTTGTTGTTTTTAGTTTAGCTGAACTTCGTCGAGATCTCCAAGCAAAGTTTCATATCACTGGTGGTGATCGGTCACAAAATGATTACGATATATCGTTGTTATCAGAAGAAGTCGCTGTTAATATTATTGAGGATATTCGGCGTGCTGCCAAACGATGCTTGTTGGTAAGATATCGAAATTAAACTGCTATTTTAGAAAATAATTGTGTTTAATATGTAGACAAGGTTAACTCAGTAATGAATGCTTCTAATAAACTTCTAGCTATTTACATTGAAAATGTGTTATTTAAAGAAATGAGTGAAATTACATACAATATTAACCATGGTTATATATTGTTATCACATAAGAATAGACTTTTTGTGGTTTTAGTATATTTTTCCAGTTTTTTAAAGATGTATTTACAAATCATTTAATTCAAATAAAGTATATTGTGTTCAAAGTGAACTTGTATACGCTAATTTTTCATCTATTTTTTTCTGTCATCGTTTAGAGTGACACAAATGCACCGATTTTATTTTTCAAATCTTAATTTTCATTCCGCATTATGTTCTATTGGCCTAATCTTGTACTAATACTGCTTTTACTATTCCGGTATTATTTGTTAATAATTTCATCTCTCTATGCTGATGTGGTTTCGGAAGTAAAATTGATGAACATATGTACTAAGGTTTTTGTAAGTTATGTCTGAATAAATTATCATGGAAAAGTGTACTTTCTTTTGTTTAGTTCATTCTTTATCACTGATATAGAATGCTTGGTTCTTATAATGGACCCCAATATTAAAATTATTATGTATATTTGATAACATTTGCTGGAAAATTATCTATTTATGTTAAAGACAAGAGAATTAATAAACTGTTTATTATTCTGGAAACGTTGAATTTTCCTATTGTCCTTCCTCTTTTTACCTATTTTTTTTCCTAAACTTTTGTAAAAACATCTGTATAGTGTTTTTTAGTGATAGAAATCGAGCAATGGTGGTCTGCTTTAATATGTAGTAAAAAACCGACAAATAGTAGCTGGTGAATATTAACTTTCAAACAGCATTTTATCAAAAGTATAAGTGGTCCTTAAGATCGTATACAAAATATTTAACTGAAATGTAGATATTAAAATATAATCCATTTATCAGTAAATCAATAGTGAAGTCACATAAGCCCTTTCATGTTAACAAATAAAAAGGTTTTACACTAATGTGTATTGTTTATGTTCAATACGAGTATTTAAATGTATACGTTTTAAGTTAATTAATTACTGTTATATTGAAACAGAAATTAAAGGGATGTTAACTCTCAGAATTAATATATGGACTATTATTATATATCCTTATTGTATAATTACTAAGTATATATATATATATATATATATATATATATATATATATTTCTTGTATCCTGAGCTCTTGAATAACACATCAACTGCGGTTGCATGATTTATTATCCGTTATCTGTTATTAATTCATTTTTCATTCTCCCTCATCCACCGCCTTTTCTGACCTGTTCATGTATCACCGTTATTTTTCATTTATTGATATGATGCGGTCAAGTATGCTTGTATACAAACCGCATATGACTTCTGGACTCAAAAAGAGATTGGAAGAGAATTTTGAATTAATAGAAAATTTTATGGTTATCTAGAGTCTATAAGGGCGTACTTGTATTTTGATTGGTGTTTTGCTTGTCATGTAAGATTAACCATTGGTTAAAGGACACAACACTTACCATAATACCTTAGTTTATATTCTTTAAAGTTTGTAAAAACAAGACTTTTATAGTAACTCATTTGATCTATCCTAATTAATTGTTTCAAAAATATTATTCAATTGATTTGTAGTTATCTCAACCTACTGCCATTCCAGATAATGGCAAATTCATATTCAATTGTTTATATCACTATTTAATTGTGGAACACGTGGATTATGGTGTTACTTTAGGTTTACATGGTGAGTTCACTACTGCATCAAAATTGAATATATATTCTTTTCTATATGAAAATTAGTATTTTTCTACTATTTAATTCTTCATATATATGTTGTATATAGTATACAAAAATTATATCTTCATTTAATGTTAAGTCAAAAATATTATCAACCTAATAACCATGTTGAATAGCTATCTCAATTCATTTCAAACAATCAGTAATCGCATTAGAATAAAACTACAAAGCATTAGTTCACATATTTTATTGTATAAAGTAGATGTTGAACAAAAACTTATGAAGGGCTTCGAGTGGATCATTATAAATAATATTAAATCAATAAGTGAAAATTAAATCAATAATAACGGTTATAAAATTCTAAAAATATCAAATTTTCACTTTGTCTGTACTTTTTAAGAAAAAAAATAAAAAAACTACTGAAAATAAAGTATTTTTAATCATTTATTCAGTTAATCATCAATCATGCATCACAAATGTATGTTGGCTCACATTGTCATACTTTGTCAGTACAGCTAGACGAAATTAACTAGAAGTATTTCAAGAGTTGAAATGACCATACCACTAGCACCAATAATAATAAAACGATATCTACACTTTTATTTTTAGCTAAAGCTTTTAAAAACCTATTAATAAGGAATTTCCTGATGATTTTTTTTTCAATTTGTTTAAATTTGTCCAACTTTGATATATTTCTGAACATGTAATATTTGAATGGCTTTCATTCTTTGTAATATCAGGTTTGAATGTAGCTGATCCTCGAAATAATAATCCAAACTTGATTTTCTTCTCAATAATTCATGAAGCAACATCTATTTTTCACTTTTTTGAAAAAACAATTGATGAATCCATTTCACCAATGATTATGTAAGTAGTTTATCAATAATGTAATCTCATTTCATTAAAATTTTCGAAAACACTACAGTAGTACATATAAATTCAGTTTTCAAAGGTATGAGTCTTATCGATTGAGTATGGCTTGATAATCCATCGATTTTTTCTAAACTTTTATGACTATTCATAAATATTTATATGTTCGCTTTGTCAGTACTCAAGACTACAATTAACCAGTTACTATTGCCTTAGGAACATCCTGAACAAGGTCATTGACATCCGTCCCCATACACGTAACAGCACAAGAAACAAACCTTGTCACAATCATATCCTTCAACCACCTCTTAATAAATCTTTTATCGCCAGGACTATCCCTCCTGACATTCGTTTATCTCTTTGCGCCACTGATGGAAACGACTCGAGGACACGTAACATTGTTTCCCGCCTCCTGAAACCTCGCGTTAAACTAAATTTTGCAGCCTTGAACTTGCAGACCTTGCGTCAAATAGGACATCAGGCTCCCTTGACTAGGTATCTAAAATCTCAAACCATTGGTGTGTGCTGCGTCTCTAAAACACGCATACCGGATCTGAGTAGTCATTCTTTCGACCTCACCTTATCAAATAAAAAATCGTCGCGACTTACGCTTTGCGTGTCTGGATTCCAACTGATGCTTCCCGTAGCCTCGCTCGTGTAGGTAAAGCACTGAGTTCTAAAGTATAACTAGTTCTCTTAATCTGGACGTGTGCGCTGTCCGACTGAACGGGACAGTAAGAACTCAGAAAGATAGTGATACGCCGATGCCTATTCACCAGTCTTGCCTACGCCCCCATTGATTGCTGCTCGGATGAGGTGAATTTTACAGAAAGCTTCCCAACGTCCATCAAAAACTTATCACTCTGATGTGTTAATAGTAACCGGTGATTTCAAACTCAAAAGGATTCAAATCGACGACGAAACGATGATATCCTTCGACGTGACAGCCTTATTCACCTCAATAGAGCCAAGCCTAGCTAAAGAAACTCTTTCCCTGCTCCTCATCAACGACAAAAATCTGAAAAAATATACTATGCTTCAGGGCCAAAGTCTGCTAGAACTCATCGATCTATGCTTAACAACGTATTTTCAATTCAACAACAGAGTCTACGAACAAACATAAAGGACGCCAGTGGGATAAACAATATTAGGGCTTATCGCGGAAGCTGTAATGCAGAGACTGGAAGAGTCGGTTTTACCAGTGATCAAGCCAAAAATAGTTCGCTATGTGGATGATACATTCGTCCTTATCAAAAGGAACGAACTGGAGAACTTCTACAATCGGATCAACAACGTTCTCGATGACATAAAGTTCACGATGGAAAAGGAATCAAACAACTGGTTGTATTAATCACCAGAACTAACGCAGGGAAACTCAAGTATTTTGGAGGCTAACCCACACAGACCTAATTCTCAACTACAGTAACAGCAATAACCCAAGAACTCACAAAATCAACTGCGTACAAACATTGTTCAAGAGAGCGAAGACACTGCAGCACATATGAAGCACTAAAAAACGAGGAAAGCATCTTATGACTTTCTTCCAGAAGAACGGCTGTCCACGCAACTTCATCAAAAAACAGTTGAAATCATCAACAGAAGCGAAATCAAGTACGGAAACTAATAAACCGATCATCCTACCATACACAAAAGACATATTGGAACACACAGCACTACTACTAAGACCATTTGGAATAGGTCTATCACACAAACCAACAGAAACACTTCAATCAATCCTATGTAGACCAAAGGAAAAAATGACAAAGGAAGGAAAGCAAAATGTCATCTACAAAATAAATTGCTGAAACTGTGAAAAATACACTACATAGGACAAAGTGGACGGCCTCTTCAGCTCCGTTTACGTGAACACCAATTAGCAGTCAAACGCCACGACAATCTTCGCTTATATCAATTCACGTTGGCAATTATGGACGCACATTCGATTGGAACAATGTGGAAATACTGGATAGGGGGAGCACAAAGAACACTAGAGAATTTTTAGAAGCTTGGCACTTGGGTCAATCAGCAATTAACAAACACATCGACATTGACCCGATTTATCAACCATTCAGAAAAATTATAGGTGAAATAGGATCAAGAAACAGATCAAAAGGGGGATACAATCAAAACAAACTTGCAAACAACGACAGATTTAAGGTCAACAGCAACCCATCAAATCGACGTTAGCAGACTTTAGTGCTGATGTTGTTCAGAAGAACAATGAAAGCTTCACAACGAAAACATCCAGCTCAGAGAACCAAACACCACCACAATCACCCACCTGAGCTACAAATTTTCTGCACCATCTCAAAATTATTATTTAAAATGTGAAAATGAAGCCTAGCATAGTGATAAGACAGTCATAGGTATGTGGCACTGTCGACGTTTTCCAAATATAAATGTCCTAATAATATGTTAGACGAAGCTTAGACTCTTTGGTGATATGGAATATTATCTGAGTGTCGCTGATTTTTTGTTTAGAAAATACTTTTCATTTGAATAACAGCGTTGAAGAGCGAAACTAGCTACAGTTTGTATAAAAGCCTCAAATTTCCGGTGTGATCAACAAGTCGACATAATACAATTAGTCTGTGATCGTTTTTATCCTGTACTTTAAGGAAGCTAATTAATGTTTCGTGATCTTTAAATATCAATACTAACTAATTGACACACATTGCAACAGCTGCCCTAATCAAAAGATTTATGTTTGTGGACATGCAGCTAACTTACAGTTGTGTAGATTCTTATTTTCCTTAAAACATTTAATTCCAGATAGCTTATCTACTTATGTCATGTGTATATGTATGCAATTATCGATTGCTTTTTGTGATATAAAAAAAGTAAGAAATACTTGTTGAAATATTGCGTGTTAAGAACTCTAAATCATACTAAACACATAAGACTAAACAAACCAATTATTATTAGTAGTAGTAGTAATATTAGCAATGTGAGTTGTAAATTTCATTCACATGCTGTGTTGTGCAGCGATAATTTTCTTGAAGCTAAGTATATATGCTAAATTTTTACATTAAACCACTCAATATATTAGATACTTTGAATATTATGTATATTTTAGGACAAATCCATCATACGTAAATGAAATATCTGTCAAACGTAAGGAATTGAAACAAGATTTGGAAAGCAAATTTTGTACTGGTTTAGAAAAGTGTCTAAATCTGGCTATCTCTCGTGTTCAATATTTATTATCCAATGAACAGCGAAAAACTGATTTTCGCCCAGATATAAACGCTAACTCAGGAATAATTGCTGGTAATCCACCATCACTTGTAAGCTTTCCCATAAGTGGTTTATTTACAGAATATTCTAAGTAACATTTCACTAGACTTTTTGCCATTTCATTTTTTCTGCTGATTAATGAACATGATCAAAAATGCAATTTATTTTAAAGCCTGCCTTTCCATTAATATCAGTTTGTAGGCCTATTTGACTTGAATCTTTCATTAAAAATAAGAGACTGTGCTTATTTATATGCTGAAGTAATATCATTTGAACGTTTGGAGGGTCAACATTATGTTTTGTACCATTTACGGGTGCAGCACTTCTCAAGCGGTATGCAATCCTGTATCTAGATTCATTGTCAGGGGAAAACCATCTTTGTATTTTGGCCCTCAAGCCAGTGGAACAGCAAAGTACATGGTGATTAGATAACCGAAATATGTAATCATAATTCACAGATCCCACTAGTCGAGAAACGGTCTTCTTGCTTACATAAGTGGATCCCTTGCACCCCGTAGTCTGACATGAGCGCTAAAGGTAAACTCTCCACTTTTGCTGAAAACAGGCCTACTATATAAAATGGCAAGGAAGGCTTCCTCAGAAAAGGCTGCAAACATGTGGCCGTATGCAAATATTTTCGGAGGGAGTGAAGTTTTCCCACACCCTACCTTGTCTTGGAGCGGTTAGAAACGATTCGCTAGTTAATCGATACGCGTGTCTCCTCGACCTGGAGAATTCTAATTTTTTTAATACTCGGGAAATCTGGTGGTTAAGGTGCACTAATGAATTTTGTTGACCATCTGGGACTACTATATGCTGTCGACACACCCGAGACTCTAATGCTACAAAGCATAGTATCTGTCAATCAGTCTTCGAGTCTAAAATGCTATAACAGCTGCTACTAAATGTTATTTTTCTTAACTACATGCTAGGCATGCCAACATGTTGTTGGTTTTTTAAATTACATCAACCGGGAAACTCACCAACATCTTGATGGTCAAAACTTAAAAACATTTTTACACGAATTTGGAATGAAACTGAATCGTACACTGGTAGATCATTTCTACAACTTTACCTTCTCCGACACAGGTAAACATTTAATTTTGTTGTAAATAAATTTTTGTATTCTGTTTTTAATCGAAGAAATTGGATGAGTTAGTTTCGTATTTCAGACTTATTTATTTCATGAGCAGCAATAGGAAGGACATGTAAACCTATCGTAGGAATAATGCACTGGTAGTAAAAAGCACTCAACCCGTCAAAGTACTGCACTTTCGCACTATTTGTTGACTGTTTGGAGAAAAGGCCCTAGGGAAAACCGAAATGTGATGCAACAAAATGACATTAACTCTTTACAGAATAAAATGTCTAATGTGTGGTTTACCCAGGTCTATTATTAGGTGCATAAAAACGATTTTTTTTCAGAACAAATGAAGTCTGAAACTTGATATAATGCATCTTAGTTCTTTTATTTGGATTATATTGCCTGAGGTTTCAAGACCATAACTGATACCTTGACGTGGTCAGTCAGTTATAACGTAAAACTTCGTACGTACGTACATCAATCCAAGTTGCCATACGACATTAGCACAGAGACGCAATTGTCAATTCAAATCCGATAGTAGTAGAGTTAGTAGAAGTATTAGCAGTTATCAAAAAGATTAATGATCGAATATATCATTCGAAATGTATACCCAAGTAATCGGTTTTGAAAAAAAGAGAAAAACCGGTCATGAGGAATTCTGAAGATTAGGATTTAAGTGAACGCAAAGAACGGATGCAGCTGCACCATTCCAGTTTTCAGTGACTTCATGGATTTGTCCCATGTTTTGGTCTGGCTGCCCCTAGCTTTCTTCCAACCTTCTCCTACACCGCAAAACATAGCTTGACGAGACAGGTCGAAATGATATCCAGAAGGATGTGGAAACAGCAGTGATGTCTGCCAGTAACTCAAACCAAAGGTTAGCGAAAATCAGTGGCATCTGTTGAACTGATATACGCTCAGAAACTCATCCCGTCTGGCTCTGGACACTGTGAGGAGCAGAGGCAGCTTAAGCACTGGCTGAAAAGAAGCCCACACAATGAATATGGACGGTGGTGGGTGGCGAAAGCAAGGTAAATGTGAATGACGGTGGCAATATGTAACAGTAGGCAGCTGTTGAGACTTATCAAGGAAACTGGTATTAGAAATCTGATTGTCGGTGAAACTCTTTCAGAAAAGTACGGGACTATTATTCACTCAATCCATGAGATTGGACTGATGAGCAGAGAACACCTTAGGAATTAGTTCAACTGGCCTTCAGCCGCACAAAATCTCGGCACGTATACAGAAGGCTCGACTGGTTATTGTCTTATTGCAATAGAACAACATTTTTTTCAACTATTCGATGAAACAAGTATAGATTGTAGTTATGCAATTTATGGTATATTATAACGAGGGTTCAATAATAGTATGAAATTATACGTCTTGATAATAAAGATTAGTTAATCAGATCATATGCATGTTTTATCATGAAAAATTTTGTCACTAGTGTATTCCTAGTATTATTTTAGACTATCAACTTCATAAAGTGCTAATCCGCCAAATTTAATTGCTGACTAGAGTTAAAGTGGTTGATACATTCCGACATTCAGAGTGCGCACAGCCGTGTTTTTGCAGTGTCTAGTTTCACATACTTTAAGATCGTCTGTTGTAATCTCTGCTGTCAAATATAAGTGTACGTGAAAAAACTTATCGAGTCGACGAAGCCGTCAATCTGATCGTATGATGGAGCTTGTAAAGTTTGTGATAAACAGCGACGACCACACATGCGTTTATTGCAAAAAGGAACCATATCCTAAGTCATATATGAACACTTACAAAGCTTCTAGTGCTAGGTTTCGCAGAAAATTTACTCGGTTTGTAAGACCTTACATTTAATCAAACAGCAATATTTCACCATGAATCAGTTATTGCCAGGTTAATCTAAGCTTATTCATAGATATATCGTCTAGTATTCCATATTTAACAGGTGAACATCTAACCGTGGTACCAGGAGATGTTGGTCAACTTAAATTATGCTAACTTTTTAATTATACGAAATATCCCAACATTACAATCTTGAAATCTACCGCTGCAAACAAACATGTTACTCGCCTCATTTACTTACGGTAGTTTACTTCCAAGATACTGCTATTAAGTAAATGTAGTTGTTATTGTATATAAGTTCTGAACTAAATTATCATTTATTTCTGTTTTACAGGTGGGTTTGTTGCAATGCAAGATGTAACCGCCTACCGAGAGATTGCAAAGTACTTTGAGAGTCCAACTGTTAATCTTGTTTTTGATGTACTGCTAAAGCTGATGAATCTAATGTTAATTAAGCCAGAAAACGTACAACAAGTTGTTCAAGATTATTTGCAGTCAGGAATGCCAAGAGACTTATTGATGAACTTCATCCAACTCAGAACTGATTACAAGTCAGCGAAATTACAAAATTTGATACAACTCAAGTCAACAAAATAGTACTTGCAGTTATTTATTATTGACAATTTGTGTTTTTTAAGTATTCCATGATCTCTTCATCACTTGCACCATTATTAAACATTTCAGTTATTTTTTGTGAATATCTTTTATTAAATAAAACTTCCGCTGTTAACGGTCCTTCGCCAACTGACGTTGATTTCCAAGAAACGTAAGGTTTTAGTTCACATTTGTCTAAGTCTTTAGGTACAATAAAATCCAAGTAACTTTCAGGGAGATTAATTTTTTGTCCATAAATTTCCATGCTTGTTGTCGGTTCCCTGAAAACTCAAAACTAAGCAATGAAAACATCGTACCTGGGGATCCAAGGGTATTTTGCACGAGCTTTGCTTTTTTTTAAGTCCAGCATCCAGTGATACCTTGTTTTATAGGCAATTTTCTGCCGAAAATGTAGAGGTCCCGCTGCTACGCTGATAGCCCTTATGGATTGTAATTTATTGGGAGGCGTCAAAGGATTTGAGATCAATTTTGTGAACTGCATTACCTAGAGAGTAATGTTAGGGAATCTGTAGAATGACTGTATATTGGATGTGATTATTATTACATCTTTATCAAGCTGTGGGATCGCCAACATAAACACAGAAATTACACACCAAGTTATCAGAATAGACCAAGTTTAGTTAATGTTTATTTTGTAGTTCACTCCTGGATACTCAAGCTCAAATAAAACAGCCGAGTCTAAACTACAGCACTATTCAGTTAATAGTGGCGTACTGCTTGTCAAAAGACAGACAGATACAACGCAGAACTTCCTACATAAGTACATCAGTTCACGTTGCCATACCACGTCAGCAGAGACGTAACTGTCAGTTCAAATCCAAGAGTGATAGCGATATTAAAAGTATTAGCAGCAATGAAGAAGATTATGGAGCGAAGATATAATTCGAGAAGTATAATTCAGTGAGATAAATTTAGAAGGAGAAAGAGATTATGAGGAATTCAGGTTATAATTAAAAAGCACACAAAGAGTGAATGCACCTACGCCATTGCAGACGATTCTGAGCCATGTCGTTCAAGGTCTCTAACCAGCTATAGATTCTGCTTGTTGAACGGATATCGGTCAGAAAGTTTACGTGTTTGGATGTGACTCGAACTAACAGCCCGAAAACCTAAAACACTGACTTATTATTGTTTTATTTTAGTACCAGTCAGTACTGTGAGTCTGGGTAGGAGATGGGGTTGGGCGTAGTGCTGTGCAAAATACTTAGTTGAGATTATGAACTTTTATCCGCCGACGTTGTACAAGCATTTGTTGCGCGCCAACTGGAAGTACTGCATATCCATGAAATAGCAGAAAATGATATATACAACTTAAGAAAAAGTATGGAACACTGTATGGGAATCTATCAAGAAAAACTTGCTAAAATCGGCGAGAAAGAATTAGGAAGAATAGTTCTCTGTAATAGATAAATTTAGGTGTCTCGTTAAAAAAATTTTGGGCTGAAAATCCGATACCAAGATCTCATAAAATGATAACAATAAATTGTTGTTCCTTAAAATTTAAGGGTCGGTATGGCGCTGATCTGCTTCTAGTTCATCTTATAAATGTAGTTATACATAATAGATGGAAGCATCGAAAGGACTAAATATATCCAAAAAACCACAAATAAATGTTGGAGGGAGCACAATCCTGACGTTTAAATGGGACTGAAAGCTTTCAGTACTAACGATTACGAACCATCAAAATAAGTTGGGTAGTACGAAGTATTTTGAAAAACTTAACACCTACAGTCTCATAAACGTACACCACATACGAAAAATAACCACACTGCAACTAATAGCATTTTAATATACTAGGAGATATTTTATGAGTGGAAAACGATTGCTCTTTATGAGCAGCGAGAACAGTAGCACTTGAAGTTGGAGTCAAAAGACTGTCTCAATATTTGCCTCCATTATTAAGTGGAGTGATTGACATGATCAAGTTTGTTGGTCTTTGGTTAATCCTCGTATTTCGGTCCTAATAAAGATCCTGTTTCCTTATGCTAAAACACCTTATCTCTCACAACTATGTTGGTGTGTACAACATTAATTGACTGGCTAGAGAGTTGCTCGAATTCTTCAGCATTGCTTCTACTGGAAATCTTACATGAAGCACTACTGTCTAGTAGAAAAATATCGAGATGCCTTCAATTTAGGTTCATTACTGTTAAAGGTACACTAGAAAGGCTGAATTTCAGTTAGGTAGCATCAGCGAGACTTACTGAATAATTAGGTGAATACCAAACAGACGGAAAATGTTTAGGTACCATTTGGTCAAATTCATATGTCTCTTGCGCTCAGACTAAAGCCAAATATTAAAAGCTTTGAAGTGTAACGTCTAAGCGTTAGTTAATTCATGTTCAGTCTGAGAGCACTGTGCGATGGTAGTGTAAGGAGTGGTATATGGAATAACCCGTAGGAGAAACTAACGTTCGAAATTAAGACGAAGGTTAAGTGCACAGTGCACTTATATCAAGAAATGAAGATAAGTGAAAACACATTTGGAAATAATTGTCTCGGATTGTTGAATCAGTGAGATTTGGAAAATCTGAGTGTCGAAACTAGAAGTTCACAGCGCAGGGTTTTCTAAAGGCGTAGCGGTCTGTGTCTAGCTAGATGATACTTAGTGAACTGGGAGAGCACGCAAAGTAACGTAAGAAGAGCTGGGAAAAAGAACAAAAGAAGTTGTGCCGATGATTCAGAAAGCACATAAAATGTACTCACATTTGACAAAGAAATCAATCGACAGGAATCAAAAATAGCACAAACGCGAAACTACTGCAAGATGATATTCAAGACCATTAGGTGGTAGCGTAATCTTTGAATACGATACAAAACATTAACAGCATACTTATGAAGGGCATCCAAGATCCAATACCATACCATACTCCGTATTCAGTTCATATTTATTTATTGACCGCAGAAAGATGAACACCTGTGTTATCCGTTACAAATGAAGTTGCTCTGATCACGTAATATTTTCTTGAACGAGTCACCTGAACATCCAGACAGCACACCGGCAAGCAACAGATTCCAAGATTTCATTACTCCCACTTCGAACTGTGCTTTGCAGAATCGTAGACTTGCTTATGAATGCGAAATTCCAGAAATTTTCTCATGGGTATGGTTAAAACTATTTGTCACTTGATAGGGATTTAGCCCACTGTGGTAAAAATTTTTAGACTTTCGAAAATGATTGTCGAGTAACGTAAGGTAAATTATTTCGCACTAAATACTTCAACTAGTTTTATTTTGATAAAATATATGGGCTTGCAAAAACTATTTAGACAATAAAAATTAGACCTTCAAACAACGTTATAGAATACGGGAAAGGAGATAAAAACAGGGATGAGTTTTCCACATCCTCCACACGCAGTGGTCGTGTAGATGTTCTCGAAACCTCACAGATCTTCTAGAGCACGTCACTCTATGTGGCTTCTCAAATGCCAACGAAGTTTCGTTTTAGTCTTTGCTGATATGAGAATGCATCTTAGTCGTAGGCCTCGTTTGGTTCGTTTGTGTGATCGGGTCTGCAGAGGACAGTTTTTGATCCAAGAAGGCACTTTTCAGTCAGTATCAGTCTTGCGCTTCTTAGTTTCGTAACGACGAACTCTGTGGCGTCCTCAGTATTCCGCTTCTAGCGGTCAGCGTAATGAGTAGCAACGTACGAAAACGTGTGTGCTAAGTCGTAAGGCTGGTCGATCCGACTGGACACATTGCGTTTATAAGCCTGCTCATGTAGGATTTTAGAAGTATATCTGTTTGTGCAGACAAGGGATCTATAAATTGTTCTGGGAGTCGAGATGTAGTGTCATAAACAAGTTTGACTGCATTGCGTTCAGAATCAGCATTCAATGAATTTCTAGTTCCGCGTAACACTAGTGGAAGAACGACAAGTCATTATGATGCGTTTGCGGCCGAGAGAGAAGCTTTTAAAAGTCAGCGGAATCGTTATACCGAATCATTCGTTTCTGGTTGTTAGGCAGTCAATCGGAATAGTACAACTGCTTGAAAAGTAGTAAGACGGTCAAAAATTCTGGATTCAAACTGGCGTTTACGGTCTATAGTCATAGTTGGAGGAAAACCAAAGTTTGCGATTCATCTTTTGACGAGGGTAAAAACCAAAATTTCAGCAGCAATAACCTTCGTCCGTTAGCTAAATCTTTGATATCATCTATTGGGTACCTACGTGGAATATTTTTACAGTTAAGGGCAATGTAGTTCCTATACAGTCTTCGTTCACCTTCGCTTTGATTTTCAACCATGTGCAGAATGTATGCCCATAGGCAATCAGAGGAATTAATTATACCCAACTGTGGCACGTAGTTGAATTCCACCCTGTCTATTCCAGGCTCAGCTGCGCCTTTAGCCCCCTGGGGCCACTAACGGTCCAGAGTCCTCATAAAGGAGAAAGGTTGGACTTGAGTTTAGTGACCTCATCATGTATAAAACTAACTCACTAAAAAACTTCTAACCAGAAAAATCTGTTCAGACCACCCCGATTCTTCCCTGTAGTTTAGAATGTCTCCACTTAGAAGAGTTTTGACATCTCATGACGAAAGATGGGTTCATTCGTGAGGTTTTGAACATCCTGATTAAAGACCTAAATGCCGAGGTTGGCATGGACAACATTGGATATGAAGGCATCGTGGAATGACATGGATTGTGGGAAATGAAGGAAAACCTATTTTCCATCAACAAAGTAGTTAGCGCTTGCACTATATTTCCACACAGACGAATATATGAAGCTACATAGATTTCACCAGATCCCATTATACAGAATCACATCGACCATATCTACATCAGTAAAAAGTTCAGAAAGACCATGGAGAACTGAGATAGTAGCTGATTTATCTTCAGATCACCATTTGCCAGCCTCCAAAATGAATCTGAAACTAAAGAAGCACTGGATGATAGAGCGAACAACATCACAAAATTTTAATACTACCTTTCTTCCGGATAATGACAAACTCGACGAATTCAGGATAATCCTCATTAAT